ATATATATATATATATATATATATATATATATATATATATATAAATTAAATTAACAAATAAAATAAAACAATAATATTAAATATTACAGCTTTCTCTAATTGAAACTTATCACCTTTTACTGGCATATTTTGGTATAAAAATAAAGTCCTAATATTAGGCTTTGTGTAGTGTTAATATTTTTTTGTGATTCTTCATCCTCCTCCTCCTCTGATCTGTATATTTAAGAACTACCATCCATTTAAAATAAAATAAAATAAAATAAAATAAAATAAAATAAAATAAAATAAAATAAAATAAAATAAAATAAAATAAAATAAAATAAAATAAAATAAAATAAAATAAAATAAAATAAAATAAAATAAAATAAAATAAAATAAAATAAAATAAAATAAAATAAAATAAAATAAAATAAAATAAAATAAAATAAAATAAAATAAAATAAAATAAAATAAAATAAAATAAAATAAAGATTAAGCTTTCTCTGATTGTGACTTTGACTTATTGGGAAAAAAATAAAAATAAAATAAGACAAAAAAAAATAAAATACTTATCACTTATTATTAGAAAATAAAATAAAATAATAAAATAAAATAAAACATAATAACATAACATAACATAAAATAAATAAAATAATAAAATAATAATAAAATAAAATAAAATAAAATAAAATAAAACATAATAACATAACATAAATAAAATAACATAAAATAATAAAATAAAATAAAATAAAACACTGCTTTCTCCCATTGTGACATGCAGCATAACTTATATTTGGCATTTGTATCAAAGTAGCATATGTATAAGAACTGTGTGGTCATTTACTATAAATAAAATTATACTAAAAATAAAATATAACATTTTAAATAAATAAATGAATAAATACATTTTCTAGTTTCTCTGATTTTGAATTTCTTACTAGCATTTGTTTTGTATAAACGTATCTCGTATATAAGAACTATGCGCTCATTTGCTATTTATAAAAAAATAATAATAATTGTATAAAAGTATATTAAGTACTATGTGTTTATTCACTATTAATAAAGTAAAATAAAAGCAAAAATAATAAAACAAATGTAACAACCAAACAAACGTGGGAGCCCAGTTTAACCATGCTGATTTAAGCTGTGCTTTTTCAGCAGCTCAGCTTTAAGTCCTGACATCTAGGTAACAGCTCTAGTGTAAGGTCGATGGTGTTTTACTCACGTCCTTCCAGTCGTGTGTTGTCCAGCTGTGCGTCTGGCAGTCGGTGTGGAAGCAGGAGCGGAGGCGATCGGGACGCAGGAGCGCGTCACACAGCTCATCAGAGACGCGACCTTTGCCCTTTGACCTGCAGAAGACCTCACGCGACTGAAGGCCAGCGCCGCAGCTCGCCGAACACTGCACACAAACACACGGAAACACACCTCATTATTAGCCTTTACATGCTGAGTTTATATCTGGAGCTGGTCTGAATTAACACTCGGCTCATTTTGACTTGGAAGAGATACGTACTAATTTCTAGAAACTGCATAGTTTTTTTGGTAAGGGAATGAAACTTTGCGAGTGTTTTAAGACCCTCAAAAAACATCTCATGTACTTATTTATTTTTTTCAGATTTTTTGCAATTATTTTTTAAGAGATATAACATGTTTCATATTCGGGTCATTTTTGACCCGGGTATATATGGAGCACCATTAGGTGTCAAAAACACGTATCAATGAAGTTATTTTAGTGTCTAAAAACTTTTATAAAATATATTAAGCCTTTTGGTCCATACCTCACACAGTTTTGGGACTGAATTTTGTTGATAAATATGAATAGTGTACATCTTTTGATGAACCACTGCAGCGTGAAAAACTGATCACTTTTTTATCTGAAAGTGAAAGTTTATACAAATAATTAATTTGTATAAAAAAATTATACAAATAAATTGAATTCATTTTGTTTGAAAACTTACTGAGTAATATTTATGTTGTTTTGTTAGAAATAAATAGGTAAGTTTCATAAAATAAAATAATTTTATAGAATAAAGTTATAAATTCAAAGGAATTAAATTAAATTAATTTAATGCAGTTAATACTGATAATTCTCAGAAATGTTATGTTTTTTATAAATTTCATACAATCATATAATTAAATAAGTTGTATGTATGCATACATATATATATATATACACATTTCAGCAATTTTTTTTTTTAAGTTATTTATTTTTATTTAATTATTCAATTTATTTAATTTATTTAATTTTAATTTATATAATTAATCAAAAAAGTAATAACATGGTAACAATCAAAACATTTAATTTTCCACATTCACTCATTAAAGTGGAAATGAAGCAGTCAGTCAAGTTCACATTATTTAGTAAAGTGATTTCCACTTTGATTAAAAAATATATAACAAACATGATTAATGTAAACATTTTAAAGAAAAAAGGTTGTTTTGTTATAGCTTTTAGAGCAAGGGTGCCGCCATCTTGCAGTACAACAGCGCGTGTGACGTCACGGGGTTGGTTCGCTCTGATGGCCAGTGAAGTAATACAAGCATTTCTTTACATTTTGAACACACGCTTGTTTTGAAATGGAGGAAGATTACATTGAAAGCACTGTTAAGTCCATAATAAGTGCAATTGCCTATGCATTTGAGCCGATACGGCGATGGGACCGAGCAGTATGGGGTTGAAGAAACCGCACCGGTAAAGTGCGGATTGGAAACAATACTCGTTTACGTGGATGTCATTCCGACGTGCTTTGTGTGCATTTGCTGATGAAGGCGCGACAGAAAGTTCAATTTGGTAGCCTACTCACGTGCTGTCCGAGCCGAGCTGTGGCTTTGTGTGTGTGTGCAGCACCGCCGGCGCGAACAGAATTGATCTATCAAAACGCCTGCGTACTGCATTTAAATCTCTTTCAGAAAAGGTCTATCACAGCGTGTAAGTACCGCACTGAAATCTATAATCTGAAAGAAGAAAGTCATATACACCTAGGACGACTTGAGGGGGAGTAATTTATGTACTAATTTTAATTTTGGGTGAACTAACCCTTTAATAAGAAATTGCAGTTACACTTTATTTTAAGTGTCCTTGTTCCAGTGTAATTATACATTTAAGTACTGAGTAATATTAATTAACTACATGTACTTACTATATGGTTATGGTTAGGATTAGGGCTTGGCCTAGGGTTACTTGCATGTAATTAGGCATAATTTATTATTATTATAATATTAAGTACATGTAATGTGTAACAATAACACCTTAAAATAAAATGTTACCAAAATTGCTGATCAGATACAATATGGTATTAGTATGATAAAAAAGACTGTTTTATGCAACAATGACTCTTGGGGTGGAATGCATTGATGATTAGAGCAGTGTGTGTGTTTAAGAGGCGCTGTGTTCAGACGTAAAGCGTGTCTTTCTGCTGCGCTGGAGGATTTCATGCTCTATGCAGGCCTGTGAGACGAGCTGATTGCTTCCAGACGCAGAGGGGGATGATGGGGGATCGTGACGGGGTTCGGGGGTAAAGCCGGGGCAGGAGTGAGTGTAGACAGTGTTGGGGAAAGGTACTTTTAAAAGTAATGCAATACAATATTGCGTTACTCCGTAAAAAAAAGTAACTAATTACATTACTTTGTTACTTTTTATGGAAAGTAATGCATTACGTTATTTTTGGGAATGCATGGGAAACAAAGTAACTGTTACTTATTTGAAAAAGTAACTCAGATATTTCCTTCTATTTAATTTAAAAGCAATGCGTTACTTTACTAGTTACTTTTAAAAAGTAATCTGATTACGTAACTCGCGTTACTTGTAATGCGTTACCCTCAAAACTGGGTGTAGAGGTGGGAAGACCCGGGACGTCCCGAGTGACTGGATCTGACCGCAACCAAGGGCGTAGTTTTGGTTTGAACACTGGCGGGTTGAAGTGTGAACTGTTTTAGCGGAGTCCTGGGTCATGCTCCCTCATAAGCGTTATTTATTTTATTTGTTTGCTAATATGTTTTTTTTTGTAAAATCGTCTTTTGTGCTATCATCTGCACATGCAAGGTTGGTTGATAACCAATTACTGTTAACTGGACCACAAAACCAGTCATAAGGGCCGAATAAATAAACTTCCATCCAGGCATAAATGTATAATTTTGACCCATACAATGTATTGTTGGCTATTGCTACAAATATCCCCCAGCGACTTAACACTGCTTTTGTGCTGAAGGACCACATATAGTGTATTTTATATTATTAAGCCACTTTTATAGGCTATAGTTTGACATAATGTTCTAGTTCAACATGTCATGGGAAGCCAATCTAACTTAACATTTTTTTCTTACATTGATATAGTTTATTTCTTACTCCTTAACAGTTCATCAGGCTCTTAATGATTTAATCTCTGCCATCTCTTGGAATATCTGAAGGCCAGGTTTGTCCATCACTCGAACCCGTTTTACACACGGCCCTCGATGCTGACTTGTACTTGCTCTCATGAGTTCTTAACTGTAGCATTTGTTATAATAAGGCTAGCACTACCAGGCCAATAATGACTTATTTAAAAAAAAAAAAATCTATATAGCATTTGTTATGAACAGCCTGCACATTTAGAAACAAAAGTTACAACATGCCACAGCTGTCATATAAAGCTATACCCTTAACAGATTGTCTATTATAAATTCTACAAGTTAGACAAAATTTACAACAATAAATAAGCCTACAATAAAATGTGATAAATTCTAGTAAAGACGGTCATTGTCACAATACTGTGGAGCGAGGAGTAACTCAAAGTACAATGTCTTTAATTAATAACCAAAAGAAACACGAACAGAAACAGATCACGAACAAATCTTATCACAAAATAATAATAATAATAATATTATAAATATAAAATTATAAATACATTACAATAAGGAATAAAGTATTGGTATATTTTGCTTAAAAGTATCTAATGTGGCAGTACTGTTTGTTATTTTACTAATAAAATTAAATAGAAAAAAAATATGATTATTGACATAAAAAAATTTTTTTTTTTTGTGGTATTTTTAGTGTAAAAGTACCTTATGTAGGAGTGCTGTTTGTTCATTATTAATAATGATAATAATGATGAAAAAGCCAATTCCAGGAAGTGACGTCACATACCGCTCTCCACCGACTGGCTCTCCAGGAGGGGCAGGGTCCGGCCCGACAGGCCTTCTGTGTTCTGGGTGGGATGAGATGAGCGCAGCTGTGCTCCTGGATCTGGGTTTGGTTCTGATCGACGCAGACGATCTGCCGCTCTTTGATTCCCTTCCCGCAGGACACCGAGCACTGCAGACACGAGAAAGACAGACCAGACCGTCAGGAAAACCACCCACGATCATCTGGAAGCACTAGCACAGAGAAACACGCTCACACGGTTTAGGCCGGACAGATATCATATTTTACAACCCAGATGAAAAACACAATATTGCTTCTGTTCATTAATTATGATCGTGGGACACAAAGCTATATGGATCCATGCGGTGTGATGGTGGGACGAGATCTTGCGCACGTTCACAGGCGCAGGAGTCTGATTTCAGATCATATTTCACCACAGAAAAGACAGAAATAAGAAATTTTTAAATGGTTTTAAATGGTATTTTTAGAGAATTTTTATTTATATCACTGTGGGAAATAAAACATTTTAAATTACATTTTTATACTTTTTTTAATAGCCTTTTATTGCTAAGGTGTCCCCAGAATTTTTGGTTTAGCTAGTTTTAAAAGGGAACAAATCCATTTTTGTAAAAAAAAGTATGTAGGACAGATATTTTTATAGTCTCTCTGAATAAAATAAAATAAAATAAAATAAATATTATTGACATTTTAATAAGTTTTTTATTTTATATATTTTGTAAAGCCTATTTTTATAATTGTAAAAATTATTATTATTATTATTTTTTTATGTTATTGCACTTTTTTGCACTTTTTATACTCCAAATGTCTATTTGAGCTTAGTTTAATTTTGTGTAAAAGTATTTTATATAGAAATACTATGTATTCATTTGTATTAATTTACTAATATTCATGATACAAGCAAACAAACAATCAATCAATAAATGAATAATTAAATAAAGCATGACTTAATATTGGCATTTTTGTATAAAGGTGTCTATTAGAAACCTTTTATTTTTATTATTTTGCATTGTCAAAGTGTTTCCCCCCTAATTTGTATTACTGTGGAAGAAAATATAATAAAAGTTGTATTTAAAACCAGCACAAATTAAATTTACTACCACATTTAAATTTTAAATATAATTGAAATATACATTTACTTCATAAATAAAATAATATTATTATCAATAATAATTGTATCATATTTTTTATTCACATTATAGTAATGAGAATATTGAGGGGTAAATGCAAAAAAATCTTAATATTCCTAAAAACAGGCCTAATTTTGTTTGTTCGAAAATTACTTCTTAAATTTAAGGTGAAATATGAGCTGGATCTCTTTCAGCTTCCTGTTTTGACTTCAATAACAGATCCCAGTATCTGCGTCCACATCTGTGAAGTTTGATCCTCGTGGAGAATAAAAGCAATTTTTGCAAAACTAAACACAAGTTTGTGCAAAATTAAAGAGCATCAGGACACACGCACACGCACACGCACACGCACACACACGCACACGCACACGCACACACACACACACACACACACACACCATAAACAGGGTCATTACAGAGGTATTTTAAATACAGGCTGCAGTCTGCCAGCAGAAACACATCAAAGAAACACAGATAAGAGAAACGAACATCAGCATGCTGGCAGACACACACACACACACACAGCTGAAGGGAAGAGGAGGAGAGCGAGCGGCTGTGAACACTCTCGTCTGATGGGAGTCACACACACATACTCTCTCTCACACACACACACACACTCTCTCTCTCTCGCTCACACACACACACACACTCTCTCTCTCTCGCTCACACACACACACACACTCTCTCTCTCTCGCTCACACACACACACACACTCTCTCTCTCTCGCTCACACACACACACACACTCTCTCTCTCTCGCTCACACACACACACACACTCTCTCTCTCTCGCTCACACACACACACACACTCTCTCTCTCTCGCTCACACACACACACACACTCTCTCTCTCTCGCTCACACACACACACACACTCTCTCTCTCTCGCTCACACACACACACACACTCTCTCTCTCTCGCTCACACACACACACACACTCTCTCTCTCTCGCTCACACACACACACACACTCTCTCTCTCTCGCTCACACACACACACACACTCTCTCTCTCTCGCTCACACACACACACACACTCTCTCTCTCTCGCTCACACACACACACACACTCTCTCTCTCTCGCTCACACACACACACACACTCTCTCTCTCTCGCTCACACACACACACACACTCTCTCTCTCTCGCTCACACACACACACACACTCTCTCTCTCTCGCTCACACACACACACACACTCTCTCTCTCTCGCTCACACACACACACACACTCTCTCTCTCTCGCTCACACACACACACACACTCTCTCTCTCTCGCTCACACACACACACACACTCTCTCTCTCTCGCTCACACACACACACACACTCTCTCTCTCTCGCTCACACACACACACACACTCTCTCTCTCTCGCTCACACACACACACACACTCACACACACACACACACACAGCTGAAGGGAAGAGGAGGAGAGCGAGCGGCTGTGAACGCTCTCGTCTGATGGGAGTCACACACACAGCTGAAGGACGGCAGAAGAAAGACGAGAGGAGAAGCGGCTTGAGGTCAGTCTGATGGGATAAACATGATGTTTTGTGTTGAAATGATGAAACGATCTGTACCGTAGTAATATTTACTGCTAGAATCACTTCTAATGCATGAACGTGTGTCTAATCCTCAGAATGTGATTGAACTCGAACAGAGTTTGAAAACTCAATCAGCTTTAGTCTCGAGACTGATAATACAAGCAAACAAGAGTGAATTTCCCAAACCTGCCAAGAACACGTTCAGCTCATATTTCAGTACAAAGTCAAAGATCGTTTTTTCTGTTTAGAATTATTAAGATATTAAGATATACACACTACAGTTTTTATATATAAATTTACATATATATTTTTTATAAAAAATATTGTATTTTTAAATTTTAAATATTTAATATGCAAATAAAACAAATTAATATATATATGCATATTTTAAATTGCAATACAAATATTTAGTTTTAAACATTTTATATATAAATGTAATTTTTTTTGTACATTTTACATGTAGTTATATACAGTAAAAATAGTAAAAAAAAATATTTTCATTTAAATATGCATGCATATTTAAATATTATATTTTTACTTTATTATGGTTTTATATTATATTTTATTATCTATTGTATATGTTCACATTTTAATACATATACAAATTTATTTTATTTTTTATTTGTGTGTGTGTGTGTGTGTATATAATATATATATAATATCATAATTAAATAAATTCAATTATTTAATGATAGAATTTAATTATTTACCAGCTCATTTATATTATTTAAAAGCACACATTGCAGTAGTATTTGTTGTTGATTGTATTGCACTGATTTTTTTTACTGTAATCCAGTGAGAACAGTATTGTATTACAGTAATGAGACTCTAATGAGCATTAAGATTCATCAGGGATGGCAGGTTTGGTGAGATTCAGACATATAGCGACTCATTCAGATCACTAACAACTACACAGAGAGAGAAACTGTGGTCAAGCTCAAGCAAACGCAGCGATCTGTGAATGAAGTCTGATGTAAAATATCACTGATCTGATGGAGCCGCTCATGTATATATTCTTAATTTACACTAGAGTCAATGACAGAGAGAAAAGAGCTCAAGCCGGATGTTTAAAACACAGAAATCACTGTCTGTGAGTGAACTTCATCAAAGCTCAGACACTTTAGTCACATACATGTGTTCAGACAGGACAAAAATGTGCTGAAATATGTTAGACTGACTATTGCTTAAACACAAAACAATGCATGAAGTCCACAACCAGATCCTCTACATGTGTGTGAGTGGTTTTTTTTTTGGAAATGCATTCCAACTTCTACTTGGAGAAACTTGAGAACATAATGTTAACACGACTGCCTTAACACTTACCTTCTATCAACTATTCTGAAAATAACATGTCTGAAAAGACATATATAATGATCTATATAAATGTATATACATTTTTAAATGTAATTAAATTAAATAAACTATTATATATAGTGTTGGCCACTCCACTCACAACTGCTGTTCTGTCACTTTTTCTCTTGACAAGAAGTGCTTTTATTCAGTCGCAGAACGACTGAGAACAGGACACGTTTCAGACGTGCGCTCCTCTTCACTTCAGCGCCAGGCGCGAGTCAAAACGAGCGCGGAAACTGTACTTTTGCACGCGCTGTAGCCTGTATCCTTTCATATCAAAGCGCGAAATAAACTACATGCACGCGATGTTGTGGTCAGTTAAGTCATGAAGTTACCAAAAAGGCTATTAAAGCTGCCTTAAAACTGTGCATGCGTGTCATATATCTTATATGAGTCACATTTAAGAACATGTCTTTGAAATAGTTTTCAAAACTGTCCTGGAGCAGCCCAGCACTGTCTCACTCATCTAACACACCCGATTTAACTCGTCAGCTCGTGTTTATTTTAGCACTTCAGTCAGTGAATACGCAGCCTGCAAGAAATAATACAGTTAAACAAGAAAGTAGCCCAAAATAAGAAAGTTAATACACCCCCTGTCTACAGGACGCGAGCTGCGCGACAAAATACTATAAAACATTATAATCAGTGACATGACAAATCCCCGACAGTAAACTGCCTCGTTCTATTTATGAGGTACTGACACAGAGTTCAAATGTCCTGTGTAGACACTAAACAGACTCAACCTGTTGCGACGCGGTGGTGTCGCGTCCGGTGTAGACACTACTGTTAATATTGTTATTACACTTGTATACAAAACGTCGTATTATGCTTGTTATAGAGTGCGTGACGTCACGTGCACTACCGCCGGGTGTCAGTAGACAAGGCAGTGGCAGTGACGCGGTTGTCACGGCGACAGTCACAGCCTACCCAACCCTCCTACTAAATTATTTCATTCTTGCATGCAAAAAGACCTGTATGGTGACTATGGGGCTATGTAAAATATTTTTGACAACTTACTAGGTTTATCATTTGTCATTTTTTTCGATATTGTGGATAATCATCTGTTACCTGACTATTGACATCGCGATACTTACGAGACATCGTCGATATATGATAATATCGTCATATAGCCC